ATCATATCTAATTGATGTAAAAATTGGTGATAAATGATATAATCAATAAATAACCTATAGGTAGGGTCATGTACAATGCGTACGCTATTATTACTCAGTGAATCTCACAGTCTTTGTAATAGTAATATTTGCAAAATAAGAAATGTTACATTGAATTTCGGATGTCAATAAACTGATTATCTAAGTAACATTTCATCAAGTCATTTTGATAAATGAGATTCGTTTATTTGAAATCATACAATAATTCCACTTGACATTCAATGTTACATTTCCTATTTTGCAAATATTACTATTACAAAGACTGTAAGATTCACTGGGTAATAATAGCGTATGCTTTGTACATGAACCTACCAACAGGTTATTTATTGATTATATCATTTATCACCAATTTTTACATCAATTAGATATGATTTACACTAATTCCGATCGAGGTTTTGATACAAAATACGTGACTTTTCAAACTGCATTTGATGTTAAATATTAATTCTTTAGTTTAGTATATATTCGTAGATATTATTTACATATGTATTTCGTGATTATGAAATTCAAAAGGATTTCAATCATAAACAGAATGTAAATTGATTGGATTAGCTGATTGATAATTATTGAGAAGTAAAACAAAATAAATCCAACATTGATATATATTTTTTGAAAAAGACAATCCAAGTGATTATATGAAAATGCAGCAGAAATTAATCTATGAAATCGCTGAAAATAGTAACAATAATAATGAGAATAATGAAGTTCACTTAAATTTATTAACTGGTTCTAATGAAACTACTGAAGCTTTAAACTCATCAAAATCTGCTGCACATACTGATGATGATGATGATGATAATAATAAAAATCAGACAAATCGAAAAATCAATCGATTAGTAAAGAATAAAGATGCAATCAGGAACTTTTTCATGTCTAACCGTTTTTGGAGTATCATTTTACCAATTGTAATCACTGTGATATTTGTTGTAATACTATTAGCCTGGTATGTAATTGCATATGCAAAGTTCAAATCATATGATGTTGATAATGTGAAAGTACCTGGAGGAAGTCAAGGTAAGTTTTAAAATGAGACGAGATCTCTATGAGATTTGAAGATTTTTTTGACTTACCTAATAATTCATTTCATCAATGTTCTTTCTGTAGTCATAAAACAAACTGATCTGATTAGCCGAAATTTTAATGTTTGAGTTATTGTTGTCAGTGAACTAGGAAAATCAATAGTATTTCAAATGTGTCGACAATAGCGCTGATTATGTAGGCTTTAACAATAAGTAGGTTCTAATGGTTGGTGATTGTTCACTAAATAGACAAAACTAGAGAAGATGATTCTTCTCTTTTTTAGGCAGAGGTATCATAGTAGTTGCATGCTTATCTATTTCTGGTTAACATCAAATATATTGTTCTTTCTAGTCAAATAAGCAATAGAATTCACCTAATCATCATTCCGATTTTTTTTCTGATGATAACAGGTATTATAACATTCTGTTTGATATTGTAAGATGAGTGAGAGAGAGAGAGACAAAAAGTCACTTGTTTTAAAGAAATGGATAGGAGCCAGTAAGTAAGTGTTTCAGACAACATCAGGAAGTACAAGATAATGTGATAATTAGTAAAATAAAAATATTGAAGGAAGTAGATCAAATAAGATTGGAATTTGTGTTTAAAAATAAATCGGCGACCAAATATATCTGAATTGGCATCGGTCACTAATCTGCATTATGTTTAAAAGTAATAATAATAATATCTCAAATATATGTGTTCCTTCATCTCTCGAATCAAATTCATATTATAGGAATGTGAGTAGGAGAACTATGTTGAAGTGTTTCTCTAGACGATGTGAGTGCATTACGTGTTGCTCAAATACAGTAGGATCGTATACGACATACTTCTTTGATACTTAATCAGTGATGTTTAGGTTCCTAATATTGGATTAATGAATGGAGAATCAATGTTTTTCAACTTCAATAGTGTCCGGAAATTCATGACTCATTGTATTACTCAATGATTAATTTTAAATTTAATTATTTGTAAGCCTTGTGCGAACTTATTTGAATGGAGTGAGACTCGAGAGGACTGGTTGATTGTTGAGTGTGTGAAATTCTATCTCTTCATTCCATACACACTTTTCAATGTTAATCGTGAACATGAATTCGATCGTTCCACAATAAGGTCGGAAAAATAGGTCGAATCGTGGTATTAAAGCCTTTAGAAATTTGAATGTTTCATAAATAGTTCTACTTGAATGAGGAGTTAATTTACAATATTTTGCTGATATGATGTTATTGAACATAAGAATGGTGATTACGGTAATTTGGTTTACATTGTTGGTAAATATGTTCATATTAGGGACTGTTAACATGCACATATGTTTTTATTTTAGACTAAATGAGAAAAATAATAAGTTATTCGAAAGTTAATGATTTTAGTGAAAATCTGTATGAAAAGTGAATTTCGATTTTAATTTTGATTACAATCGGAATGTGTTTACAAAGATTTGTAAATGTTTTGTTTGTTCTACTAAAAGTGATTTTGTGGATCAGTTGAAGTGATATTACTTCAGTTCACATTATTTCTTAAACGATGAAAATATTTTCATAGTTTGTTGTTTTCGACACGATATAATCATGAATCAATCAGTCAGAAAGTGTAGAAAGCGTGAACAGTAACGTATTGATCGTTCTAGGTAATTCATCATTTCTTAAGTTTATCACTCTTCTTGTTGATTATTGATGGTTAGGTAGACTGTGAGATTGATGAGTTTAACATGTACAAGAGGTTTCTATATAATGCATTTTTTCTGAGTGTGACCTTTTATTTTTTTAACTGCGTTAGACACTTATTTTCTAATTTAGTTTTTGTAAATTATGTTGATTCCATGAAATTTGATATTTTTATCTAGTTTATTGAACTAATCTGATTGATAATGTTGCTTCTTGAAACTATGACAATATTAATTGATCATTGGTCATTCTGAGTATTTTATTAACATTCATTCTAATTTCAGATATTGGCCGATTGTTTATATGATGGGCTCATTGTTCGCTAAAGTTTATTGTTGACTAAGTTTCGTAGGTAAACTTAGAGGCAATTAATTCGAATGGTAATTGCTTTTTCCACAAAATACTGTAATATGCACATCCCAGAATAGTTTTAAACGTTTGGAAGAGCAGTTCTCACTGTTGAATGAAACTTCTACCGGAAAAGCAACTTCGTTTCATAGTTTATTTCATTCTAAGTACATTTCAATCGGTAGACAAGCATCATAAGGAAAATTTTTCTACCTTAATCTT